AGCCCAGGGACTCGGGTCCTTCCAGGACGCGAACGTGCACCCTGCGGCGCTGGCCCTGGAGAAGGCGGTGGAGGCGGACTCCGTGAGGCCGGCGGGGAGCTTCTGGGAGCGACTTAATTGGTCAGTTAAGGAATGTTGGTTAATTAGTTGGTTAGTTAGTTAGCTAGCTAGTGAGTGTTTCATTGTTTTGGTTTGTTTTGTTTTGTTTTGTGTTGTTTGTTTGTTTGTTTGTTTGTTTGTTTGTTTTGTTTGTTTGTTTGTTTGTTTGTTTGTTTGTTTGTGCGTGTGTGTGTTTGTTCGTGTGTTTGTTTGTGTGGTTGTTTGTTTTAGGCTGTATTATAATGCACCAAGTTCACACATCAGCGCAGTCAACTCGAAGTTAGTGGGTTGTCACCCAAGAGGCAAATCACTCGCCAAGTCGGGAAACAGCCAAGGAATTGAGCCCCATTTGCTTGGTTTTAGACACGAACCACAGGGCAACCAATTTTGGGGCCTTTGACTTAATTTAGGCCATGAAGGTTTCTTTGATAGGCATCCCCCCGTTCGGTTGGTGAGCCCGAGAAACAATCTGGGCAACTTACAGCACGCCAAGTGAATTCTGTGGGTTTGCGACGTAGTGAAGGTTCCTTTAGGGCCCCCTTTGCGGGAGTTTGTTTTTACTCAGAGAATTGCTGATCAGTCACGTGACGGGGGAAGAGATTAGGCCAAACCTGATAACAGTTATGCTGTTCATTGACATGGTTCAGCCGGTTGCTCCAACCTCCACTTGCAGAGTTTTTGCAACTGTCGGTCGACGATCATACACTGCAGTTTTCTAGATGAGCCTCTCATGTCCAAGGTTGCATGAGGGATGTCAAACCACATCTTTCCAGGGTTCATGTCAAAAGCCAGCCTGAAGCCTATCAGTTGTAGTGCAACTACTCTTGAAACGTACGGCTTGGGGCCCTAATTAGTTTGCTCTGAATTTGCACCAACACCCCCTTCAAAAGTGGTGGACTTAAATCTCAACCAACATGAAATCCACCAACGGGACCCCCATTTAAATTCACACAGTTGTAACATGTTGCAGCCTACAAATGCCACGTAGTCCCGGCATTATGTAGCCGCTTTCCTCGTTGGGTTGCACCTTTTTCTGAAAGAAGAGTCCTCTACTTGCAGTTAAATGGTTCCCATACGGCTATGAATTTTAATAGGGAACCACCTCAAAAGTAGTTGGTGGACATGAATCCGACTTGCTGGGAAGCCGAACTGGATGAGCAGGTTATCACTCGTTCGAGCGAAGCTGTTGAGTCCACTTGCCTTCAACAGCAGAGCAAAACGAGGAGCACAGATCAGTGATTGGACATTGATCGCTGCGATTTCCAAAACAAACTCCTCTTCTCGCCCTCATTTTTCAGCCCTCACCCGGGGCCGGAAGCCAGTCGTGGCCGGGAGCCAGGTTGCCCACACCCGATTGCGTCAAACAAGAACATGTGTGTTGCCCTTTATAAGGTAAACCTATCAGCCACATGAACACAGCGTTTGGGCCGAATTCTGCTTGCATGTCCTGTTGACTAAAATTTGTTGGTGTGTCGGCTGCCGGTTTGGGCTCCTGCCATGGGGCCGGTCAGAGGGCTGAATTTCAGCCGCCAAACCTAGAGACAGGGAACCCATGATATGAGTCAATCAGATTAGTCGCCGTGCTGTCGATTCCGGACACTTCAGGACGCTTTGTACGGCCCTAGGGTCAGCTGCAGGCAGGGCGTGCCACTTGCGAGGTGATATTTGCTGGGCAGGGGCTGGGAAGTTTGGGCTTCAGCACAATGTCTGCAAATAAAACAGCAAAGGCTTTCTCTTGCACACCTGCCCCCGACAATACAAAGCTGATTTTCCCCCCAGTTAGCTGAACCAGCGGCCGTTTCCCAGGCCTGCTACCCCGGTACAGGTTCTTAGGGGTGTGTCTGTGTGTCTGTGCGTGTGTGCGTGTGTGCGTGTGTGCGTGTGTGCGTGTGTGCGTGTGCGTTTTTTTTGTTGCTTCTTTTTTTCAGGTAGCCCTTAACTGGTGGTTTGGATTGGTGGTTTGGGGATTTGAACGCCCGGTTCTTGTAGGGAGTAAATGTGACACCATCCCCGAACCTCCAAACGACCAATCCAAACCACCAACAAGAGGAAAGCTGAGTATTGGTGCATCGTCCCTCTTTTTGAAAGTTTTCTTTCTTGTTGGAATTAAGTCACCTCCTTTTTTTTGTGGGGGGTTCACATTGAAGCCCTGGAGTCCATTGGCCTGGCCACTGGACATCGTTGCAGGTAACTTCTGGGCCTCGACGACTGCTGAGCCCTTAGAACATCGGCGTGGCTTCCCTCTTGGCGCTGCTCTCCCCGTTCTCAGGGATCCTTCTCTTCGCATGGGGGGTGAAGAGACTGAGGAAGCAACCCGAGTTGTCCAACGCGCCACTCGAACAACCAGGAAGTACCCTAGTTGCTACGTGCGTTTGGTCCCTTTCTAGTTGCCCTGTAAACGCAACCCGCAAAAAGCTTTGGTCCTCTCAAAAGGGCGCCAGTAGCGGAACTGAGACCATCCGTTGGGGAGAGGAACTCCATGATGGGTGTGCCTTTCTCGGGGGTACGCCTTGGGCGTGTCTTAAAGAGAAACCCCAAGAAGGACAACCACCATTTTAGGGTTGGTGCTGCCCCCGAAAGAAAGACGCACCCCATGGCAGACCAAACAGGTGTCTTGTTTAGCACATCTCCGTTTTGAGCGCACCCTTTTCGGGGTTTCAATTGCAAAGGGAGTTCAACGGGAAGCAAATCATGCAGGGTGAGATCCCGATTTGGAGCCGCCATGTTTCCCCCGAAAGGTTTTAATCATTACCTTCTCCCTGCCAAGTATTGGCGGAGTTCCCCCCGATTTTGGGGAAGGTTCCCCGGTCGTTTTGCCGGACTTTCCCGGTTTGGAGTCTCTTGTGGAGTTCCCCCGGCCTCTTTGGGCGGAGTTTCGCTCAGGTAGAGAGCAAGCGACCCAAGATGGACCAGGCCATGGCGCTGAGGTGGGCTCGTCGTTGTGTGTCGTTTTGGATGCGCCAGGTGCAATGCGCAGAGCTATGCGCTGTTGAATCGCACTGCCGGAGAATAAATGTTCCGGACCTTCGCTTTTCAGGGTTGGGGGTCTTGGAGGCAAGTTGTTGTCGAGCCTTGACTTCAGAATGTCTGGCGCAAAGTTCGGTGTTCACGCGAGAAAGATCTCGTAGGCAGGGCATGCCTTCGTGCTGCGTATCCTTTGCTCGCGGTCGTGTGGCGAGCGCGTGCTGGCTCGGAATGGACTTGTGCGACACGGTGAGGATGCAAACAGAGGTGAACATGAGACATCGATTCTTTGATTGTGCCACAGACCTTCACTTCGAAGTTTCCAATGCAAACCCGAAATGCGCGCCACTTCCCAGCTCAAATGGGAACCGCGGAGGTTCCCCCCTGTGGGAATCCTTCACTTTCGTGGGTGACACGGCCGGGTTTGTCAACCTGGGGTTCCCATTGCAACTCCCATGTGGGATGGTTTGAACATCGCTTTCACGGGCACACCTCCCAAACCCTGTTCCCCCAAAACGACCAATCCTACGAGCCGCTTCCGCGATTCAGCCGCGCAGGGCGCTGCTGCGGTACGGCGAGCTCCGACACAGTGCCAGCGACGCCCCTCGACCGAGTGCGTGAAACGTGGGTGTCCCTTCCTTAGGGAACCGCCAAACATGGTTGCTTTCCTCTTGGTTTCCCTTTAAAGCCAACCAAAACGGGAACCCACCAAAAAGCAAACACACCCAATTGGGGAGTACGTTTGGGTTGCAAAAGGAAACTCAACAAGAGCGAAGCCATTTTGAAGCGCTGAGTCGAGCCAAGTCTTGCTCGTTTTCATGCCTTTTGTAGCGACTTGTAGCGAGTGACCTAATGGCCGAGGGCAAGCACGAAGATACTGTTCATAAAGTTTCATAAAAAGGTTTGTCGTGGAGGAAATGGCCGCAATTCTGCAACTCACTCAGCTGCATCCACCAAAACACAAGCATGGATCAAATGTCGGACCACACAATGGTTGCAAGCAGCAGAGGCACATTGACTTATCGCGGGCTCCGCTCAAGCTATGAACGAGAGCCCACATAACATATGCGGCTCGCTGCGAGTGTTTTTTTGATGGTACGCTTGTTTAAGCGGAGCCAAATTATCATTTTGGGGGGGTCCACCCGTTTTGACACATGGGAGTCGTTCTAAAGGTCCTTGTAAGGAGTTTAGTATTCGGTGACCATCGGTGTTGGTTGAGGTAGCTCCGCGAAAGATTCGCGATGGAGTTGCGAAAGTAACTTTTTTTCTCGCGAAAGTTTTGCGTAACTGTATCTGGTTAATCAATGATATGTGGAACCGTTCAGCTTTTCTGCTGAGCCTTCCTTCTATTCTGATTAAAACACTTTGTTGATGTTGCGCTGATTAAGCCTGGTGAGGCTACAGTTTGATACCCTGCTTGGCTGGTTAGTGCTCCAAGCCTGTGTATGTGTGTCTGTGGGTGTTAGTCGGTGGCTTTCCGCTCTGAAACATGGGTGATTTTTCGCGAAAGTTCCGCGAAAGATCCGCGAAAGCCCGCGCGAAAGCGCAGGCTTCGATTGCAAGGGGAGGTATAGTCTGAGCGCCGATCTAGTCAGTATACTAGCTTGGTACTGGAAAGCTGCGACTTCAAGCTGGAGCTGCACGGCGAACGAAAAGCTGCGACTTTCCAGCCGGCGCATGTCATGTACTACCCCTGTGATGAAAAGTTGCGACTTTACAGTCATTTCGTTTACAACGCTGGCACTTAAAAGCTGCGATTCTCCGACTCGAGAAATGAAAAGAGCACGGCGATGAATCCGCGAAAGATTCGCGAAAGTAACTTTTTTCTTCGCGAAGAATGGCCGTTTCGAGACAAAGGAATTTAGATCAACCACCACATACCCATATGTTCCTTATAAGGATCAGAAAAGGGCATTTCGCTTCAAGGCCTTCACACCATGAGCGCGCGGTCTGGCTGCATGTCAAGCCATGGGGCAGCCGAAACACGCAGCACGGCAGGTCGGGTGGCTGCACCACTCTCGTGTGGGGAAAGCCCAGCTTTTTATGGGCGTGATTTGGCCAAGCTGCAGGATGAGGGGACAATGCTGAATGGGTGTACAGCTTCTCATGTGGACTTCGATGAGGAGGCACGAAAGCTATGGGCTCGGCTGAACTTAGACCCGTCAGTTATCACTGGTGGCAAGTACAATGCCTTGGACGCCTTGTGGCAACATCCAGAGACACGTGCGGTGTTCTATGTGGGAAACCAGACTGCGGCATCCAACTTATCATTGCTGCAGAAACATGGAGTCACGCATGTTGTCAACTGCACCGACAGCATGCCCAATTGTCATGAACATGTTCCCGGCATCGCGTACCACCGCTTCGACATTGCCGGCTTTCGCCGTGGGGTTAAATCTGATGCCGATGCAGCGGAATTTGTCCAGCCAATGCTGAACTTTGTGAGTGCTGCGCTGGGCGATGGCAAGAACGTGATGGTGCACTGCTTGGCTGGTGCACACCGAGCAGGGACCACGGGCATCATATGCTTGATGTACTTTGCACAGCTTCAAGCCAAAGAGGCAGTTCTTGCAGCTAAGCGCTGCCGGCCCATTATTGAGCCCATCGGTGGCTTTCCGGAGCTGCTGGCCAAACTGGAGCGCAGCTGGAGGGAAGCAGGCTGAAAAATATGTTGATGGATTTCATATGCAGAGCTTCGGAACAGGCAGCAACGTGGCGATCTGGACGACGTTGCACAAGCATGCTGAGACTACTCGTCCTTTTGCAGCAGTGACTGGATAGAGAATTCGACATTAGAACCATAGACTCCTGCACCGCATCTGCGAGGGTTACCAAAGGATGGCATCGCCCAGTTGTGTGGGTCTTGGCTTGACAATTAACCGATCCATCTTGGGGACCTGTCCAACTGGTTCTAGCAATCAGGTTGCGATCGCTTGCACCAAAGGACAATCATGTAGCATCTGAAAGGAAGCACAACCTATTTAGAATGAGTCTTCAACAGAACAACGGGGCAACCTGTGACAGTAACATCCATATGTTGGCTGTTCGACAGCAGCAACAAGGCAACACACTCTCCTTTTCTGAGTGTGAACTTCCCTTCGCTGGAATCTGCCCATGTTTCGGACCAGCATTTGTTCGCAGAAAGGTTCCCCTCCAAAGCGCCCAAAAGCCCCATTCACAATTTTAGAAGGTGGTTCTACCTGAAATCATGAGAGTTATAGGCACGATGCAAGCCTTTCTATCCATTTTGGTAGAGGATCCCCGCCAAAAAGGGGCACCCACATATTAATCAACCAGGGGTGTATTAATCCGGGGTCAACATTAAACCCAAAGTCAGTGGGTTTTGCGATTTTTCGAATGATTCCCCAAACTTGAGGCCTTAGCAGGAGTAACCAAAGGGTGGGGCAGTCACTCGGCGTCTTTTGAATATTGCATGCTTTGAAGGTTGCACTATCCCACAGATGTATTGGAGTTGCTGTTTTCTTTGCTTTACGGCAACAAATCACCCAAGATCATTTTTTCGCCTACTCAAGTTTGAGGGCCAGAAAAAGAGAGATTGAAGATCATGTCAAATAGAAATGGAGCCCCGGAACCACAGCGGTGCATGTGCGCAACATGTTCGGAGTAGGTAGTGTTAGGACTATTGCTGTCAAAACAAGAGGATCCTTCTCAGCTTAACCAACAGCACCACTGGCTACCGTGTGAAGCTATCCCCTTTTGGGGCCCTGAGCAAGTGTGCCAGGGTGGAGTGGTTGATTATCGGACACAGACGGTATATGAATACTTTTGCTTGATTAAGCAAGCGCAACGCAGGCTAGCACCAAGCAGGAACTCAACACAATCCTCCTTTTGGGACGCCATAGACCTACGCCTTTGCTTAGATGCGGATGGTCCCCAACCTGCCAAGGATCTCAGACAGGGGGCCAGACCCATTGCCACTACGCCGCACCGCACTGAGGACTTGGTACCGCAAGATCTGCTGGGCCAAAGCGGCAAGGGCCTCCGAGCCCGGACCTTGAGAGTGGAAGGAGTCGCGGGGTGTTTTTGGATTTGTCGATCTGTGGGTGGGTGTTGTCAGGGGCCCCAAGGAGGCCCCCTGGAAATGGTCCCCAAAAGGAACCCTATTGGCTCCGAATAGACCCCATTAGTTGCTATTTTAGCCCCTATCGGGATTGGGGGGGCTTCAATTGGGGGGCCTTTAACCATAGGATATGTGGGTTGGTGTTCTGTCTTTTCGCGTGGAGCTCTCTGTGAACTTCCCACGTTCAGGACCCAAGGTGCCGAAAGAGAGTGGGTACCAGATGGCCTCGTTTGCAGAATTGGCTGACTCTGGAAGTCAGAGTGCACGGAATTTCGCATTTGTGCCACAAGGAAGTAGCCACTCCAATTTTTCTCATGGGGAGTCACACACGGGGGCGGCTTGACCTTATTTTGAACCTGGCCGTAGGTGAAACTTGCGGATTCATATTGGGATACTTTTCTGATTTTGGCACATGCCCGTATATAGTCTATGCGCACATGGGCGCTTGCATGAACGGACGCCACCTTACAAATAAGAATGCTGTGTGAAGTGTTGCCTCAGTCTAAGGCTCGACTCCAAGAGTGCTTCGTTCCAAGCTATTCATTAGTTGACAGCTCTCAGAATGCATGCACTCTACAGGAAGTGGTGCAAACACATCAAACATTTGTGGCAAAGCCTTTTTTTGCTGGAGATCACCAAGCTCCACCTGGGGTGCTTGGGTCAATCCCTCAGGCTCTGCTTAAGATGTGCCGCCATCACAAGGCCGAGGCCCGGGTCTGCCACTGACTTCCGTCGCTTGTGCCGAAGGTTGCGGAGGTTTATCCCAGTAACCACAATAGGCAACCAGGGAACACCCATCATGTAAAACCTAGAAGTAGAAAACTGGTCACCTGCTATAGTGGAAACCGGAAGCACTGGGATGGCTATTGTTCGATGCGAGAAGGATGACATGGGGCTGGCATTGAGATTGTTTGGAGTCTCGGTTGGAGACGATAGGACAATTGTGCAAAACAGAGCTGGCGTGTGCCAGCCCCAACAAGAGTGACTGCCCCCTGAGATCTGGGTACATGTTCTAATACCTGTCAATGTACTTAGTTACTTAGTATATGCTCAGTCCCTGAGTTTATGGTTGCTTGTTTTCGCTTTTTGGGACGACCACTTTAGTGGCTGCAGGTCGCAGCGGCGCTGGAGACGCGGGGCGACGACCTGGCGAGAATTATCCGGGCCTTCCACGACCAGGCGGATCGATCCATCGACATGTTGGCTTTCAGCTTCCCTTGAACTGGTGGGTTTGGATTGATGGTGTGGCGGTTCAGTGGTTTGGGGTGGTTTCCGGGTTTCCCGTTAGCCCGAGAATTGGTTTATGGAAGCAACAAGGGATGGTTTATAAGTCATTTTATCATCAATTGGTGGCTTTGGAGCCTGGTGGTTTGGTGGTTGCAGGCAATCGGTTTCTCATTTACCCTCAAGAACCAGAGGTTCAAGTCCCCAAGCCACCAATTCAAACCACCAATTAAGGGCTACGTGAAGCCTTGATCATGGCTCTGCATATAGTGACGGACAAACACTTAGAAACGGTTTTGGAAATTTTCTTTTGGCACCAGGTACTTTTTTCGTTTCTAAGTGCTGTCCCCAGCAGGTACCTTTCGTTTCTAAGTGTTGATCCGGACTGCTACAGCCCAATTCAACACTTAGAATTTCTTTTCAACACTTAGAAACGTTTTGCAGCACTAGCCCAACAGCTATATACGATCGTTCATGTGTTTCACGCCTTGTTTGATGGCTCACACACGTGCTGACATGTATGGAGGATTGGTCATGTATACACACAAACAAGTCCAATTGGTAGACTCTGGGGGGGGGGGGGGGTTGGGGGAGGCGTGTCTAAGTGTTCACCCCCAGCTGATTTCAAGCTTCCGGCAACCCCAAGAAAGCACCGATGCCCCGAAGAGGAAGGTCTATATATATATATATGTAAGTATGTGTGTATGTAAATAAATCATGCCTTGCTCGCACACGCACTGACATATATGTAGTATTGGTCATGCACATACACAGACAAGCCGCATTGGCCGCATTAGTATTGGTCATTCATCATTGTTTCATCATCTCGTCATTTGTTTATCCTTTTTTAGTCAAACACGTTGTTTTTTCGTGATTTGTAGGTTGTCTTTTGTCTGGCTGCCCGAAGATCTCTTAAGTCTATCATGTGTGCTGTGTGCCTGATTCATTGTGTATATATATATATATCTAGTTCCGCTGTTTTTCTTGCATGGTCGACTCTTTTCTCTTTCGGGGCAACGCCCGTGACCAATGCTTAGAAGCCGCAGGTACCTCTCGGGCAACACTTAGAAACGTTTCTAAGGGTTTGACGGCTGGTAATATGCATCAGAATCGCCATAAAGGCGAAAAACATTTCTACTTGTTGGTCGGCCGAACCGTTTCTAGTGTTGAATTTACTGTTTTTCTTTTTTTCGTTTCTAAGTGTTTGTCGGAAATTTTGGAAACCAAAACTGTTTCTAAGTGATTGTCCGGCACTATAAACGAAAGCGAGCTCACCGATTCAGGGAGGAAGGTTTCTTACTTGGGAATGTCTTATTTCGAAGTCTTTCAGTTGTGAATTCCAGTAGGGGTTTTGGGGGAATCGAAACCCCAACAGTTCCTGTTGCTGTTTGAGCCAAACTCACAACCCATGCAACTGAAGGTATGAAGGGGCTATGAAGGGGGGCCATCCCCGACGGACATTGGCCGTTATTCCCGCCATTGGGTATGTTCTTTGTATGATTGATGTTGCACTGCGACATGTTGGGTGGGTTGTCGCCCTTTAATTTTGAACCTCCGTGTAACAGGACGTCGGTTCCGGCAAGGCCGCACTAGGATATAGAAGTCGCCCGAACGAGGCAGAACAGAAGTGCCCAAGTCTTCCATACTTCTTCCATACATATGTTTCGCCTTTGGGTAATCCTTAGCCATTGAATGAGAGCTTGGCAGGAAGTTGTGCGCGGATGCCACATGCAGCGGCAATGATTGTTGGAACATGAAGGGCCCGTTTTCCTTTGCGTAATCAGAAGGGAACCCAAAGGAGACAAACCTTTTGAAGCCGTCCTGAATCTTGGGACACCCACACATGGAAGTGGCTGGTCTATTTATTTTGAAGGTGTATTGCAAGTCAGCTTCTCCCAGGTTTTATGCTAGTGGTTGGGATCCTACGGTTAGGAACGGCGGTGATGTGTCCCCATTCAAGCAAAAATAGTGTATGTTTACGTGGCGTACCATAAACTTGGTTGCTGCTTGAGACCGCCAGCAAACGCCCCCGGGCTATGAGTTAGTGTCCATGGCAGTAGTCAGTGCTAACGGTTGAGCGCTGTTTGCCTTGATAGAAAAAACACACACACATGATCTGGAAGACGCTGCGAGCTTGCAAGCAACACAGGGGTATGTGTCAAACTAGACGGACCCTCTGAACATGGTGACTTCCTTTTTGATTGCCTCTAAAGCTAACCAGGGTACTGTCAAGAAAAGACACACCCACACACATCCACACAAATGTTGTGGCCGCGAAGAGATATGCCACTGGAAGGCGTGGCGGAACGGAAAGATGGCGCCGGATTGTTGAGCTTCGGGAGTGGAGATGCAGGTAGC